TAACTCCTCAGGATCTCATCTCGGTCCTGATTTATGCTAAACAGGTGGGTGGAAGGCTTCTGGTGGCGGCATTCTCCAATGAAGTGTGACATGAAGGACCTTCTTAGTTCGGGAAAGGAGCCAATGGAGGCTGGGGTGAACTTGGTGAACCACTGTCGGGTTGATCCCTTCAGAGTAGTCGGGAATGCCCTACGTATGATTTCGTCGGAGACTTTGTATAGTTGCATGAAGGACTTGTAGGTTTCAAGGTGATCAAGCGAGTCTTTTGTACTGTCAAAGGTTTCGACGAATGACATTTTGAACTTTTGGGGAAGGGGGAAGTTTGCCAAATCTGACACAAAGGGTGTATCAGTATGCCTCACGACATAATCCACAGTCTTAGGTCCTTATGCCTTCATGGCGTTGAAGACGTTGCCCAGTTGATTCTGCACTTCCTTGATTTTTTTTGTCCTAGTGATTAAGAGCTCCTTTGAAATTGTCATAGAAATGACTCTCATGCTCCACACTTTGATTTTCACCCTTATCCTCTTGGAAACTAGGGTTTTCACCATGGGAAGAGGAAGCTGGAGGAAGAGGTAGAGGTCCTCATGGTTCTGATGAGGGGTTCCCCTGTATGGGGCCCTTCATCCCAAGGGGGCGCACAAGTGGGGAACTCCTTGACGCCCAAGGCATGGAGTGTGCTCCTCCTTGTTGTCTAGTGAGCATCAGTTGCAGGATCTGTTAATTCTTAGTTACGAACTGCTACATTGTTTCCAACATCTACGGTGCGTTCGAAACAGAATTGGTTAGTGGGTGGGCAACCTCTTCCCCTCGTGGTGGATTATCTTCAGGCTAATTCATAGATTTGGTGGTGATCGCCATAGGTATAGCAAGAAAAGTGATTAGGTGAGAATTTTCTCATTTTTCCACAGACGGCACCAAACTGATGATGCACAAATTGGTATTATGCACCACCTGTCAATTGATTAGCAATTAATGTAGTAATTAAATAAAGAGAGAGTCACTCAAGCAAGACAAAGATGTAGAGTGGTTTGGTCAACGTGACCTACGTCCACTATAAAAGGCTAGCATGACCTGGGTATTTTATTACTTTGAGGAGCTGATGAGTGTGTTTTATACTTACAAATTGAGTATTTTTGGCTTGATGAAATTGTAAGTTTTCAAGTATTTTATATTCATTTTTATTCCTTTTTTGTGTTTTAATTTTTATTTTTTTTTGTAGTGATCATGATTTGGAAAGAAAAAAAGTCATTTAGCAGCCTCAGTTTTGGATTAATTGTGAACCGAGCAACAAAGGCAGTTGTGCGCATAAAAGGAGATCAGCGTCGCAGCTTTAGATGTAGCGCTGCAGCTCTAGAAGGGTAGAAAGTCAGCGCAGCTACACTGATTTGTGGGGCTGCAGTGCAGGTTTTAGCATGGGAAATAAATTCTGACTTCTTTTTTAGTATGAATTGAACTATAATGCTTCACACATGTTAGGGTTTAAGCAAAGATATATATATATATATATACTATTAAAGAGGACTAGTAATAAGAGAGAATGAAGGATTGATAGTGAATTGAAGACAAGGATCGAAGTAAAAACGCAAAGAAGATCGGAATTGAAGGCTAGAGAGAGATTGAAGATCGCAATACAGTTTTCATTCTTTTCTCCTACTTTTAGTTGTTGATTTTCTGAGATGTTTGATTAATTTGATGATGATGTTTTTCCATTACATTATGAACTAAATTTTTATTAAGATTGCAATAGAACCTGATGTTTAGTTAAATTAATTTACTTTCGTTTTCACTTGTGATTGATCATATATAAGTTGTTTATCATATTTTGTCCTTAATATATGATTATTTGGCTAACAATTAATTTGATTTTCTAGATGAAATTGGAAAATGAATTCTAAGGTTTGGATCTGAATATGATGACATGCGTCTGGTTAATTCTTTTTAGAATTAAATAGTTGGGTTTGTGTATAGGATAGAAAAATACCTATATGATGTGTGTAACTTTTGTGAGACTTTGAACTTAATGAATCGATTCCAACTTATTTTACATAAGAATATAGTGATTTGACTGGAATAAATATTTTTATCTAACCATCATAAGAAGTTTGATAATTAATTTTGAATTCTCAGATAACAACTTATTTTAATCAATTAACTGGAAAGAGAGTGGAAAGATTTTTACGAAGCATTAGAGAAAATTGTAATCTTAAGTTCTTTTATCCAGTGAAATCAATCATTGCTCAGTAAATTTAGATTTAGTTTTAAATTAGTAATTCCATAGTTTAATTTCAATCGTTTAAATAAAATTGAATAGATACAAAATCAGTACTTGGAAATTATTAGTAATAACTCTTTCTGAGAATGATATTTTATTTATCACTTTATTACTTGTTGATCGTGTATACTTACACGTAAATTGTCAATATCAAATTCGGACAACAAATTTTTTGGCGTTATTGCTAGTGATTTATTCTAGTAAATATTTCAATATTAATTTCAATCAATTTGATCTTAATTTAAACATATTTAATTTTCTATTTTAATTGCTTTCGCAGGCACTCTTGAATTTTGTATGCTAACACGATTTAAAGGTTAGGAGCTACTATTGTACGATGACGAAATCAAGAGAAGGTTCTGAAACTTGCGAAAATATTGTCAATAAATAAAATTCAAGAAACTATGGCTGAAGATGAACAGAAATTGCTAAGAGATTATGTTGTGCCGCTTGTTACGGAAATACAATCAAGCATTCAAAAGCCACAATTCAAGCAAACAATTTTGAAATCAAGCCGGATACCATCCAAATGATTCAGAATTCAGTGCAGTTTGAGGGTCTGCCTAATGATGACTCAAATGATCATTTGATGAATTTTTTGGAGATTTACGACACGTTCAAGTATAATGGGGTTATCGAAGATGCGATTAGACTCTGACTTTTTTCTTTCACACTTTGTGATAAGGCAAAGAGTTGATTGCATTCATTGTCGCCGGTTCTATTACTACGTAGACAGATTTAGCTCAAAAATTTTTAACTAAACTCTTTTCACCAACCAAAACTGCGAGGATGAGAAACGACATCACTTCATTCACACAGCATGATTCTGAGGCTCTCTATGAAGCTTGGGAGCGATTTAAAGATTTACTCCGAAAATGCCTTCACCATGGTATTCCTAAGTGATTGCATATATCTAATATATATATATATATATATAACCATTAATTTAAAGTTGCTTTATTGATAGTGAATTAAGGAATAATAATTTCTAAGTTAGGAAATTAATTTAAAGTTACTTTCAAGGAAATGTATTTTGGAGTTTTAAAAAAATAGTAGACTTAACTACTTATTAGTAAGACTAAAAACGAAATTATCTCCAAATCAGTATCCTTGACGGAAAGGAGGACTCGGCTCCAATTTTCACTATTTGAAATATAAATAAATAAAATTTAAACAAAAATTTTGAGGGAGAGCCAATCCCCCCCTCTCCCCCCCCCCCCCCCCCCCCCTTCCCTCCCTCCCTCCCTCCCTCCCTACCTAGTCATTATTAGCACAATGGAGACAAAAAAGGCTGCATGATCGCTTGACTTAGTGTCTCACTTTCGCTCTTTATCGTTTTTTTTTTTCCCCATAATGAACAAGTTCATTCATCACTTAAAACCATCATCATCTATCCTTAACTTTTTTAAATAGGACTTTGTAATGTTAGTAACATCATAGCAAACATATTCTCCCTTTTACTTTCTCATTTCCCTCTTTACTGAAAGAAAATGTTGAACACTTAGGCTGGAAATTAGAAATTATTAACATAATTACATGTTGTAATTGGCAACAAATGGTAAATTAGGCAGAAAGAGAAAAATGGGTAATTCAGTTGAAAGCTTATGGTGATCATATTAAAGGACTAGTTGTTGTCTGTGCCTGAAGGTACAAAATAATCAAAAAAATTGTCAATCATAAATATATTTGGAGAAGATTTGAATCCTTAATAGCTTGGGAAAGCTAATATAGCATCACTCGGTTAGTTAGAAAATGAATCGAGATGGCAGGGAGATTCACCAAACCCCTTGTTCAAGTATCATGTTAATTATCGAGTTTTTTTTTTCAGAAATGTAAAATTTAAGAGTGAATGTAACTTAAATATTCATATGCTTCAAAAAATTTATCTCATTGTGGGGTTAGTTTTGCACCAACTTTCTTTTGGAGCTCCTCCAATTGAAGGTAAGACAACTAAGACAGAGTCCAATTTTATGTAAATGTGTTAAAATATGATACGACTCGTTGATACGACACAAAATTAGAGTTTGAATTTTTTTTAAGCCACCTATTTCGTAAACAAGTAAATATAATATAACACGATTAATAAACAAATCGAATATCAATAAAACTAATCAAAAGATATACGTGACACGACTTATTTTTATACTATTTACATATAATTAATACACAACACGAACCCCATATGACATAACTTGTTAGACACGTATTAATAAACCGAATCGAGTATGACTGAAATATTTTTTTATATGAACCTGTTAATATCCGACATGAAATCACGTTCACCTAATTGACGGGCCAATCCTAAAAGTCTGTCCGAGATGGTAAGAGTTTTGAAGTGGTGGACAACGGCCCGAATACCTTCTCCCTTGATCTCCCCTCCCCTCCCCACATAAGTTTTAGAATCAAGCACCAATGCCGACACAGGTTTGTTTCTGGTAAAGGAATTGGGAACAAAAAACAATAAATTTGACCAGACCGATGAAAGGAATCAACTGGAGGCTGGAGCAGTGAGCTGACAGATCAATGGATGGCTAATAGCTTCCTATTAATTCAAGAATTAGCCAAAAAAGCTTATTTTGGTGCATTTCTAATGGGCAGTGCAGAAAAACTAAACATAACAGATTCCTAAGAAAGCTTGTCTTCCTTGGCAAAAATGTTGACAAGAGCATAAGCTAATCACACAAATAGAGTGTAGTGAACAAATATTATGAGAAGAACTTGTTGATTTGTTACATAACGACACGATAAGCTTTATGCACAACACTGCCGACTGTACACCTTTAAGAAGTACAAGCATAAAGAAGCCAATTTAGCAAGGCCCTGCTCAGAGGATATCACAAGTTTATGCACAGCTATGCTGCGAGTAAAATCCAAAATTTAAGTTAGCAAGCCGAACATAACAAGAGCTTTATGAGGAGTGCTACCTGCCTCTCCCACTGCCGAAACGACCACAACCCCTGCGGTTTGGTTTCCTGCCACAACAGGAATTAACACCCTGACTAAATCCCTGAGAAGTTTCATTGTTGCCGGATATAAAAGATGATGGCTGCAAATCATAATTGTGTTGAATTTGTGAGCCATTATATGGAACTTTTGCTCCCACATTAATGGGTTGGAAAGCATGTCGACCTGTCAAACCCACGCCAGATGGTGGTTGGTTGAAGCCATGTTGACCCAAGCTTGCTGGCCAAGGGGAGAATGGTGGTGCCCTGACAAAATTTGTTTGCCCACCTGGTAAAACAAAATTAGAAGGCAACATATGACTATTATCCTGCTGAAATGGTGCCACATTAGGCAAAAGCATCTGGCATTGATGAGGATGATTCTGTTGTTGCCACGCCATACCATTTGTTGAAAAGCTACTAGGAAATCTCATATTCCGTGGCTGCTGACATGAGATTGTATTTGCCCACACTCCATTAGAAGGTGCATTCAAACCAGGGGCCTGTGAAACCTGTGGAAATGTTGGAAGGAAGCTAGACCCACCAGCAAAACTTTGGACTGATTCAGAGGAGCGCAGACAATTGTCCTGACCCAGTAATGCAGAGACAGGCGGGATGAAAAGCTGGTTCTGATCAGTCAATGGCTGACCCACACCTGCTGGTGCCTCTGTCATTGAAATTTGATCATTTTTCCAGTTACCACCACGGTTTTTAAACTTCTTCTTATCCTTTGTCCTGTTTCCAGATTTCTGGTCATTCGTTCCTCTTTTTGTCATTTTTAGCATCCTTTTGTATTCAGCCTCCTTCTCATCATCTGAAAATTCAACCTCATCAAACACCTCTTCATCATTTTCACCGGATGCATCATATCCCTTCTTGTAAAGATTGAGGTCATTGAGGACATGATTTGCAAATTCTGGAACAAATGAGATCAAAGTTCCTTGTTGGATCCCAGCAGGCACCTCACTGTCTGAATTGTATCTTATCATGTAGTAAGGATTCTTGACAGGTCCAAAGATTTCATCTACTAGCCCTAGTGGGGATCTGCTTTCTGTAATCCAAAGAATAGAACCCTCATTAAGAGGGTCGTGCTTCTCCATCCCCTCTACAATGACTTGGGCACCCATGATCTGTATAACAGTAAACAAAATTATCAAACCAAGCCCACTATGATATCACAGAAACAATATGCAGTTGATAAAATGGATCATCCAGCTTGGTATGCGACATCCATTGCACCTGCTTCTGCATATACATGTAATTAAAGAAGTATGTTTTCCTAGTAAGAATTGCTTCTTGTTTCTATGGCTTACCGACAGAACAACTCCAACGGGAAGAGTCTGATGATATGGCTGTAAGGTGATATTCACTGGAGGAACTGCAGGGAGATCCTGCAAGATAATCATTGATAACTATCAATCTAACTATTTACCAATTATTAAATAATAAACTAACTCAGAATGTAAATAATCAGAAAAAACTAGACAGAAAAGGACGATGCTAGTTCCCTAATTCAGGAAAAGAAAGGTAAAGAAGCCACATCCAATCCTTCACATGTACTCGTCATATCTTGCTAGTAGTAATTGAACAAGGCTGTTGAGTTGAGTTTGAGTCATGAAATGATTAGAAATCCACACAACAGGCGCTATGGTGTGGCAAATAAGATGCCTTGCATACAAAAATAACTTTCTTAAATGTTCAAATTTTACAGCTATATTGACTACAACAACCCCCACTCAACCCCAGTTTGATGCATTCATAAATGGAACCAACAAGTGCCATGTAACACACTGAAACCAGAAGGCAACCATAAGTATTATCTGCAGTCCATGGATCAAAATCACCAGCACTTTGTACAAGTCTCACAGGAAATGATATCACATTGGGACTTTGTAATTCTAACCAGGTGAATATAGTAGAAATGTCTGCACAATTCATCTTGGTCATTTATATACCGTGAATTCTAGCCAAAGAAATCCAAAAGACCCTTCTCCCACCTTTCCTTCCCCTTCTAACCCTGACTTGAGATGTTGAGAGTGTCGGGTTTGCATCATTTGACAGTTACTTCATAGTTGTTATTTGATTGTATCTTTGGACATTTCATTTTTTGCCTGTGATTACTATTTATTCCAGTCATATTGTGGACTTCTGCTTACTGCAATAGCCAGCTCACTGCCATATTTAAATAACTGGCATCACCTACAATTCCAAGAAATCAATGACACCACATAATTTTTCCTTTCGACAGGCCAGAGATGAAAAAACACATGGTTACCCACTAATTTTGGCCTTTCAATGGCATATATTCTCTACATAATTTTTCCATTCAATAGGCCAAAGATGAAAAAATTATAATAATCCGATGATTTTTCCGAGCATAGTTCTAACCTAGGAAACACGTATACTTCCACAAGGGTACCGTGGCAGTGTTGGACACGTGTCCGACACGGACACGGCCGAACATGTGTCTGACACGGCCATAAATTTTTTATTAAAAAAATAACTTTTAATTATTAAAAAGAGTGTAATTTTTACTTTTTTAATATTTTTTTGTTATGCAACTTATATACTATAAAAGTTAATAGATGTCATGATATTTGATGAAAATAGTAGATATTTAATTTGATCTATTTTAATTTTAATCAAAACAACAATATTTGTTAAATCTTATTATTAATATTGTTACAATATATGTTTTATTTTTAATATATTACAACTCTATAATTATTTAAAAAATATATTATATTATTTTAATAACCGTACCCATGTCCTATATTCTTGAATTTTGTCGTATCTCCGTATCCGTATCATTTCGGATATGACACCCATATCCGTATCCCTGCTTCCTAGGGTCCAATTCATACAACCCACCAAGCTGGTCCCCACATCTATATCAAAGTCAATACTGGTGAACTCCCCATCTACCAACAGTGGGACTATTTGAAAAATCAGACAATGTTTTTTTCCATCTTTTTCATCGGAGGGTCTTTCTAACTCATCTATCACAACAACCGTAACCTCAAAAATATGCTACAAGTATAATCTCAAATATCTAAGTTCTAAATTGAACCTCCATAAATAATGCAAATTGGTCTCTGATAGGACTAATAAATTGAAGTAGAAAATGACATCAAGGTTTGCACTTTGCAATGGCAGCAGACCATCTGATGTACCATCAGATACCTACCCTCTTAAGCTTTCTGTAATTGTCATTTCAATAAATAGTTTTCTGGTGTCTTAAATTAACATTGAAAACATAGCACTCAAAAAGTACCTCTCCACATCTTCATCTTCTCCACCAGTTCTAATGCTGTGACAAGCACCCTTTTTAGCTTCCCATCCTAATTAATAAATAATTACCTCTCACCCATTACTCTAGGATTGCATAAATAATAGTCAAAACACTTAGCCAACTATGCCACATCATCACCCCAAACAAAAAACTTAGCTCAAAAGACAGCTGAGCACACTAAGAACAGTCTTAGGCCACCCAAATATCAAGGACCTCCAGCTACATTTCTGAGTTCTTTCGGACATAGGAGACTGCACATTCTTAGCTATATAATCAAACAGCAGCCTGCACATTCTTAGCTATATAATCAAACTGCAGCCTGCACATTCTTAGTTTTCCTTCAATCCAACAGATTAGTATATCTCCTCCTGACATAGCACCATGGTTCAAAGTATCGGCCGAGTCCGAGTCAACTCGGCCGAGTCGTATCCGTCTCAGCAGTTGCCGATCCGATAACGATAGCACCAGAGTTCAACACATGTGAAATAGAAGTACTGAGACCCAAGTACATAATTAAAGTGACAGACAACCTTTCTTTTTTTTTTTAACCTCACTTAAACAAAATGTGCAGAGTTTTTGACTTTCGAACCTAACCTTGAAATGCAAATTCTTATCATAATGAAAAAAGAAGAAAAATACAAACATACGAAAATCCAAGTTGCAATGATTTATATAAAAAGTAAATGAGTGACATTGAGCAATATAATGAAGCAATTAAATAAAAACGACATCAATTACCCCAAGTTCATTCTTGGACTTAATCGGTCCTTGAAGAGCACTGCTGCGACTACCATCCTCTTCATCATCACCATCATCACTCCAAGCATCCATCTTATGTGCATCAGAATCCCTTATCTCGCCCTCTTCCATGTTCACCTCTCCCTTCCCTTCCTCTTCTTTTTCTTCTTCTCCTTCCTCCTCCTCCTCCTCTTCATCGGCATCATCATCTTCACTGCTAGAAGATGTGGTCGATGATGACAAAGATGAAGACGAACTCGCACTCTCAGAATCCGATTCACTATCACTCTCATCTTCATCACTCTCTATTTCCCTACCCTTCAAACCACTCCCGTCAATGCTCCGTACACCACCACTCCTGGCAACATCCCTATCAACACTCACTACTTCACCACTCTTCACATCATTCCCAATAACACCCTTACCATGAACACTTGATATTTGACCAGTCTTTGCGCCAAATGAATCAACAACCGAAGCTGGACTATTTGACACCCCATTTAAACTAACCCTCTCCATCTCTTCCTCAATCAAACAACCGAAACTCCCCAACATTCCAAACTCACCTCCAACTGGGTTCTCAACTTTTATTTCCTTACAAACATGATCTTTACCAACTTCAATCCCACTCTCAAAAAATCCAATTCCAGCCATCCGTAAACTAGAATCGTCCGGGTCTGGAGTCAAGCAGCCCAAATTCCCCAACTTTTCAGACCCATGTACAATTGAATCTTCCACTTTAATTTCCTCGCTAAAACCAAGTTGAACCAATTCAGTACCGCTGTCAACAACCACTGATTCAACCTTCTCTGAACCAACCCTCTCTGGTTCTGCCTTTAAGCCATTTATACCGCTATACGGCTCTGGGTTTTCTTCCATCCCATTCTTTATTGAGCCAAAATCAAGAAATGAATCAACAAAATCCAAAGGGAGATGGAAGTCTTCGACTTCTGCAAGTAAGAGGTCAAGTGAGTGGTTTGCTTTCTCAAGCTCTGAAGGTCGAGTATTGAGTTCTTTCTCTTCTTCAAATTCTGCAGAGGTGGGCTTGTAGATAAAACCCACCATGGTGGTCAAGAACCAAAACTAGGGTTTTAGAGCTAAAATTCATAGTTTTTTTTATGAAAAAAGGCTAAGAACATATATAGGTGCCACCGTGCGAATCCTTCGGGATTGAGTTTAGGGCTTTGTTTGGGAAAGGATCAAAGGAAAGGTTACCAAACCCTACTTGGTACTTGGTACTTGGTACTTGGTACTCAGGGTTTTAGAAACGGAGAGAAGAGTTTGGAAATTACTACATTATGAAAGATCATCTGGGACCCGCTCAATTCGGATTTTTGAACGTGGGTTAAATTTGTTCGAACCCAAACATCGATGGCCAAGGTGATTATGGGCTCACCCCTAACGTGGTCAGGTTTTCCAATTGCTGGTTGGGTCTAAATACCACACCGATTGGCTTATATTGGGTAAGTATTCGAATTTTTTTCTTCGATGGTTGAGTTTGAATTTTTATAATTACGACAATTTAGTGAAATTTAACTTACTTTTTAGTGTCCAAGTTGACCCTTATCTCTAGCCTTGGCATAGATGTAAAAGAGTCTCTCGCATATAATTGTTTAAGAACAATTTTTTCTAATAAATATGTAAAGTGATTTATTTACATAAATTCATTTTTTGTACTGAAAAAAAAAACAAAAAAAAAAGAGGTAAAATCTAAATGAGCTAAGTTGAGCTGTAAATTTTAAATGTGTTTGAAATAAGGTTTTGAGTCAATTTCAAATGAGTTTTTGTCGAGCAAATTTGAGTAACTTTATTCTTTGGATAGTTTCTAAGGAGTCGAGGTCAAAATGCATTCACGACAAAAAAAAAAAAAAAAGGAGCTTAAAAGATGCATTCAAATATGACTCATTTGTAATATGGACCGATCTCAAACACATTTTTAGGGGGCTAGTTTTACTAAAGAAACAAAAAATTTTATATATGCTAATATTTATAAATAATATAAATAAATATAATTTTTTTTATAGGAAGAATCATTTCTTTCCCCCTCATCTTTCATTCAATTTTGATTTAGTAAATCAAAATTTGAAAATTTTGTCAAATCACCTTCTAGAGAACAGTCCAAATTTTTGTCAAATCAATTTCCATAAATAATCCTTTAATTCCTATAATTTTGTTTCAAAGGTGTTGTTTGTTAATTCAATTTGTAATTATTTAATTAAGCCAGCCAGACATTTAAAATTAATATCTCTTAGTACGTTAAGTGTCTCATAAAAATATATTAAAATATTAAATAGGACATATCTTACTCAATGCTGAAAATTGAAAGCACTCAGCAAAAAAAGATTTTATAGTTTTTTAAATATGATTGTTCTACCCCAAAATATTTCAGAATCCAATTAAAATAACAACTAGTCTTCTCTCTAAAATCCATATTCCAAATATCATTCACCTTCTATGTCAAACGCCTCCAAGATTCAGATAAGTTCCCCATCCTTCCTTCTTCCTCCCGTCTTCTCTGACTAAAAAATAAAAACAACGTAAGGCTCAAACCATATCACACACACACATACAGAGTTTATGAAACAGTTTGATTCAATTCAACATTTAAATTTCGATAAACATCAAACAGTTTATGAATTAAAAATTTTAGCATTCAACTCTTAAAATTTAATATTCAATTTTTAATTTTATCATACACCATCTAACTTTTACAATGATGGTTGGGAAAGGAAAAATACGAAGCTTGGGTTGCATCACTCTTCCCCGCCAGCATTTGCGCCATGAAATCTATGGCTTTCCTTGACCAGGTGGGTATATCTCGCCTGCTTCCCGAACAATAGGCACATGAAATTCTTTGAGACTCCATGTCTAAGAACATATTCCAAAAAACAAAAATACCCAGACAATTGATTAGAGGAAGTAAAGTCCATCGAATGCAGAAGCACATACATGAACACCGATAACAGGCGAATTAATTGCTAAAATACAGCAATTTTTAAACAAAATTATCAAAGTACGACAGTTTTGAACTTATTTATCAAACTACGGCACTTTTTAAAAGCAGAGTCAATAATTTCGCTTTTATTAAAAAGCGGATTCAGCAACCCTGCTTTTGTTAAAAATCAGGATCAATGATCCCACTTTTGTTAAAAAACGGAAACACTGATATCGCTTTTAAATAAAGGAATAATTATAAATTGCCCCTCAAAGATCGTTCAAATCTCAATTTTTAACCCGAAGATCAAAAATCTCAATTTACATCCTCAAATATAGAAATTTGTATCAATGTGCACCTAAAATTAACTGTCGTCAGTTTGCTGTTTAAAACTAAATTGATAAATTATATCTAAATCCTCTCATGTTTGTCACTTAATCATTTGAACTTCTTCACAAAATAAAGGGTAATATGAAATTATAATTTTTTATTAGGATAAAATCATATTTTTTAACGATTATAAAATCCTAATAAAAATACTCTCAATCTAAAATGTCCCCCCAATTGGGCATTAAAATAATTATGTTTAAGTGATATATTGCATTACATATAAAAAAATATTATATAAATACTTACATTCTATTGGACATTCAAATTATAAGTTTAATTTTGAACTTTAGAATATATCAGACCCACAAAATAAAAGGTAATATAAAATTATAATAATTAACAGTTATACAAACAGATATCAACGAAAAAGGGTTACGTGTTATACGTGCACAAACATCATGAGATGTAGAAGTAATATTTTAAATGTGAAGGGGTCCAAATGATTAAGTGACAATCATAAGGGGATTTATGTATAATTTATCAATTTAATTTTAGACAGTAAACTGACGGCGGTTAGTTTTAGGTGCATATTGATATAAATTTATATCTTTGAGGGTATAAATTAAGATTTTTAATTTTTGGGGGTGTACATTGATACAAATTTCTATCTTTGAGGATATAAATTAAAATTTTTGATCGTGTAAATTGAGATTCAAATGATCTTTTGAGGTACAATTTACGATTAACCCCAAAATAATGAAAAACGTTAAAAGCTCAAGTTGAAAAAGCCAATGTGGGTGGGTTTCAAGTGTTTTGAGCCGCCAAAGAATGCTTTTTTATTGACTAGATGTAAATCTGCACCGTGTTGATCTTCATCGCTTGCAAGTAGGTTTTGGGGTTCACCTTTGTCAACACCTGGAACAGGGGATAGTGAACATGAGGTAAAGAAAGGACACCAGCAACAAATTCAGAGGAAAATTGAGAAACCCAGTTTGGACAGAGAGCCCAATTATATTGCAGAATCAAAAGATGATCAGATTATTATTATTATTATTTTCTATAGATTTTATAGTGATAACTTTATATAGTATTTGATAACTTTACTGAAGTGAAAATATATATAATTTCTGAACTTTTTTGTTTTTCCTGATCAATCTGATATTGTTGTTCATCTGGGGATGTACAAGAGAATCTCTATGCCAAATGGTGATATTATATTGAAATAATTATAAAATAGCTTTTGTTGAGTCACACAGGCTTCCTGTCGATGGGTTCGAAAGAGCAGTAGAAGGAACCATAGGAATCCTGAATTTGAAGACGGTGAAGAGCGTGGTTAATAAACACGCTTGTGACAAAAAACTATAAAAAGCGTGTTTACAGAACACGCTTTTATCATTGCCCAAAATTTTTTTCCCCATAAAAGCGGGATTGTTGAATCCGTTTTTTTATCAAAAACAGAATTACTGAATCCGTTTTAAAAAGTGTCATAGTTTGATAAATAAATTTAAAAATGTCATATTTTGGTATTAAAGTTTCAAAACAACTGTGTTTTGATAATAGATTCAATAACAAGCACAGGGGTCAATTCAGCTACCATGCCTAAACACAAATATTCAGTGCGCATCTAATGTTTACTACATACACTAGAAAAGAGAAGAGGTTATTTAACAAACTTGGCAAATGAACTGTGCTAGACCTGAGCACACGTACCATGGTATTTCATAAATATTGTGAGTAAAAGTGTAATTTATTAATATTTACATAGGGGTAAAATTATGCTAATTAAACTCTAATAAAGTAATTATGTTTTAGTTAAGCAATTAAATTGTTGAATTACGAGATAGGAGAGAGTATAGGTGAAATTTAAATAGTGTAGAGAATTCACAAGTGGTTAAATGTGGGAATAAGCAAAATAAGAGGGGATTTCAGTATAATTATGCTAACTATTGCATGAAAAGGGCACTCAATGGTGTCTTGCTACTCCAAACATGAACCTTAGGAAAAATATAAAAAGGGGAAACGCTTCAGGTGGTGGGTGGAAGGAAAAAGAAGAAGAAATGGGAATAGAAGAGGAAAAGCTTAAGGGTTTCGGAGAGAGAGATTCGCCGGAGTTTGCATATGTTCTTGAGTGAGAGAAACCTTATTCTTTGAGAGTTGTGTGATCTTTGATTATGCAAAGGAGTGGAGTGGAGTTGTTTTGAAGAATTAAAGAGGATTCAAGCTTTTGGATGAAATTTGAAGGAAAATTGAAGGAACCAAGTCGCAATGGAGGTAAGAAATCTTTATGAATTTCTATGTTTCTCTACTTCTAAATATGTCCTTGAGGTTTGGGTAAAGGTTGTGTGGTGTTAGAAATAAGGTTGGGTGCAAGAAATGGAGTTTGAATCAAGTTTTGAAATTCAAACTAGGGTTCAACCGGTTGAAAAAAGGTTCAACCTGTTGAATAGAGTACTGGTTGCACGCCAACCGGTTGAAATGTGTATTGAACATCAAAGCTGGAAGGGTTTCAATCGGTTGAAGGGTAAAAACCAACCAATTCATTAGAGCTAATCTTGGAAAATGTGTTGTGATGTTTAGGGCTCTTATGCGATTGATCTAAAACCGTATCAAAGGTCCTTAAAGGATCTTAAATAAGTTCCTCATTGGTTTCATGGCTTACAAATGCATGGAATGATAATTCAAACTAGGATTGAAGTGAGTAAAGTGGGTAAAAGATGGGTAACGTTTAAGGTGGTTAAAAGTACACCATTTGGAAGAGAGTTTAGGAATATGCTAACATGGACATGAATGCATAACTATATATGCATAATTAAGAT